TTGGTTGAACAACTAGGCGGCTATCCAAACGCATGCGGGAACACCATCCTGCGTGGCTAAACAAAGGCGAGGTCAAGTCAATATCTAGTACGATTTTGGCTCACTTGGTTGACAGCGGTCACCGGGTAGACGTAAAACAAGCGTTTCGTGTCTTGTATAAAGTACCAGCGAAACATTCCAAGTTCCTGCGTCAACTGATACTTGCGACGGCAGAAGCTGTGGCCATACGGGTCACAAACCCGATCTTATGTGCATATAAGGCCTTCGTCGTGGCCCTACGGCTCCTGTGGCCGAGAACAAGCTCAAACTTAACATGCGTCAGCACACCTTCTAGCATGCCGTTAGATGATAAGCAGACAGTGAAAACTGGTGTCAAGATGCCGCGACCAGTTGATATGAGCTAATTATGAGACACGCCCCCTCCCCCTGTCCCCCCTTTGGTCTCTTAACAACTCCCCCTCCCCCCTCAAATACCGTTGATTGGTTGCTTAAACTTTTGCTAACTCTACCCCTTTGTATTATTGTACATGCCTGATGATGAATTAATCGAAAACATTCGTTTGCCTCTCTTGACTTCTTAAAGCACAGTCGGTGGTGACCAAATGCATTGCTAACTGCAAGTTCTCATGGAAAAAGAACTGCATGCGTTTATATCAGGCCGTTTAGGTTGGCTAGAATTCTGTCCAATCAACTGCAGAAGAGTGGGTCAACTTCTCGCTAACATGAACCAGTCAGACTCCAAGAAAGCACGATGGCCACAGCCAATGACCAGAAGCTGTTGGAGGTGTCAGACAACACGTCGGCCGGACGCACGCACGTGCTTTCCATTGCCTCTTTTTGGAACTGTGAATTTCCCCGACAGCTTATTTTTTTAGTAGGAGTACAGAAGACACCAGACCGTAATTGGAAACTTGGACTCCAATCACCAATTTTCTTTAAGTTTTTTTATCTTCTTTCACTGGCAATTTTAAGATACACTAACACCTCAAACAAAGGTTTGTTATTTCTCAACTACTTGCGGTAACTTGAGGTTGTTGGTCGGGTACGAAATAAGCTAAATGCCCTATCGAGCAAGGAGACCGACGGGGGCTAAAGCCATTATCATGACCACTTCTGACTACCCGCAACCAGTTGCT